GCTCCCTGCACTCCAACCCCCACCTTGATGCCCCCACATCCAGACCCTCATGCCACTGACCCCCAGACCCCCACCCCACCAAGCCTCACTCCCCCAGCACCCAGACACCCCTGCTAAGAGCCCCCATATCCAGACCCTTCCCCTGAGCCCCAACCACCTTTACCTGGAAGCCCCTGCACCTGGAACCCCCTCCCCCATGAGCCTCTGTGCAGCCAGATCCCCCCCACACCTAGACCCCCCCCACTGAGCTGCCTTCACCCTGATTATCCCACACAGAATCCTCTCACCCCCACACCTGGATCCTCCCACACTGATCCCCTCCACACATGGATCCTGCCTGCCCCACACCTGGTGTGCCTGGTGCAGAGGGGCAGGGCCCCCAGGTGTTTCTGGGGCAGGCCCAGGCCTTGTGCTGCATCAGGGTCAGGTGCAGCCTCACAGCTGAGTCTGTATCTTGGGGCTAGGGTTGGGGGAAGCACTGTAGGGTGATCTCGCATCTTCATGCAGCCAGTGGCCTGTGCTCCCCCCGCCATGCTGGAGCCTCTGCATTTATTTATTGACAAATGAAACCTGCAATATTTTGCAGAATTTTAAAATAGTATGCACTGAATTTTTAATTTTTTGGTGCAGAATGCCCTCAGGAGTACAGAATGTGTGTCATGACTAGAATGTTGGTATAGGGAGGTATTGCAGGTTCTGAAAGGACAGGCAGGGTTAAAAAGGGAGGAGGTGTTGCATTATACATCAAGAATATATACACTTGTTCTGAGATCCAGAAGGACATGGGAAGCAGACGAGCTAAGAGGCTCTAGTTAACGATAAAAGGGGCAAAAACCAGGGGTGACATCATCATAGGGGTGTACTAGAGCCCACCAAATCAGGATAGGGAAGTGGATAAGGCATTTCTAGAACAAAATAACAGAAATCTCCAAAACATGAGAGCGGTAGTTGTACACAACTGTAGGCCTAGAACCCAGGTCCGCAGAGTACGAGACAGCTGACCTATGTTGCCATTGTGATGTCATACAGAGTCCCCTCCAGGGAGCACTGTGGCAATTAGGCACAGAAACTGCTGCCCAAAGGGTCCAGAGAGACAGCACCCTGCAGCCTTCTTATTGGCCCATGCTCAATATTTAACCCTGGAGGATCTCCAAGAAGTTGTCTAGGCAATCATGCAGATTTTTGGCTTGCTGTGACTCCAGACCTCACCTTGCTTTCTGATCTCCAATCTCCCATTTCAGCTGCCTGTGACCCTCGCTCTTGCCTCCTGATTCCAGCCTGGTAATTACCTCTGATCTCTGACCCTAGCCTAACTCTGACTCCTGCCTATTGATCCTGTTTTTAGTGATTACTCTGATCCCTGCTTATTGACTGCAGCCTTGTGACTTGTGGACACCAGCCCAGCTGTGACTGCTAGGCCAGATCACCTAGGCCCTGGTCCCTTATGATAAGTAATGGGGGATTTCAACTGCCCAGACACCTGTTGGAAAAGTAATATGGCAAAATACAAAATTTTCAGTAAGTTTTTGGAATGTACTGGAAACAACTTATTTCTTCCAGAAATTGGAAGATGTAACCAGGGAGCCTGTCATTTTAGATTTGATTCTGACTAACCAAGAGAAATTAGTAGTGATTCTGAAGGCTGAAGACAATTTGAGCAAAAGTGATCATGAAATGATAGATTTAGTAATTCCTAAGAAAAAGGAGTGAAAGCAGAAGAAGAATGACAATTAACTTCAAAAAAGGAGACTTTAACAAACTCGGAGAACTGGTAGGCAAGGTCCCATGGGAAGAAAATCCAAAGGAAAAAGGAGTTCAGGAAAGCGGGCAATTTCTCAAATAGACAATATTAAAGGCACAACTGCAATCTGTCCTGATGCAAAGGAAAGAAAGGAATAGTAGTGAGAGGCCAATATGGTTCCAGTAGGTGCTCTTTAATGACCTGAAAATCAAAAAGTGGAACCATGTACAAATTGCTAAGAAAGGGTACAAAGGAATAGCAAAAGCATATAGGAACAAAATCAGAAAGGCTAAGGCACAAAATGAGTTACCGCTAGCAAGGTACATAAAAGGCAATAAATGTATTAGGAGCAAGAGAAATATGAAGGAAAGTGTAGGTTCTCTACTTGGCGGGGAAGGAGATAACTGATGAAATCAAGAAAAATCATGTGTTTATTGCCTATTTTGCTTCAGTCTTCATTAAAAAGGCTAATGGTGACCACACTCAACACAATTAATATTAACAACAAGGGGGAACACAAGCCAAAATAGGGAAAAAACAGGTTAAAGAATATTTAGATAAGTTAAATGTATTCAAGTCAGCAGGGCCTGATGAAATTCATCCTAGGGTACTTAAAGAACTAACTGAACCAATTCTGGAACTATTAGCAGTTATGGCTGAGAACTCCTAGAGGATGGGTGAGGTTCCAGAAGATTGGAGAAGGGCAAACAGAACTTATTTTCAAAAAGAGGAACAAAGAGGATCTGGGGAATTAAAAACCAGTCAGTCTAACTTTGATATCTGGAAAACTACTGGACAATCTATGTGTAAGTAACTAGAAAATAATAGTCCATACTCAGAGTAGTTCTCAATGGTTTGCTGTCAGACTGGGAGGGTGTATGAACTGGGGCTCTGCAGGGATCTGTTCTGGATCTGGTAGTATTGAATATTTTTGTTAATAACTTGGATAATGCAGTGAAGTATACTTATAAAATCTGCAGATGACACTAAGCTGGGAGGGGTTGCAAATACTTTGGAGGATAGGATTAGAGTTCAAAATGACTTTGACAAACTGGAGAATTGGTCTGAATTCAACAAGATGAAATTCAATAAAAACAAGTGCAAAGTACTTCACTTAGGAAGGAAAAATCAAATTCAAAACTACAAAATGGGGAACAAGTGGTGGTACTGCTGAAAAGGATCTGGGGTTATGGTAGATCACAAATTGAATATGAGTCAATGTGATGCAGCTGCAAAAAAGGCTAATGTCATTCTGGGGTGTATAAACAGGAATGTCGTATGTAAGACATGGGAGGTAATTGTCCTGCTCTACTCAGCACTGGTGAGGCCTCAGCTGGAGTACTGTGTCCAATTCTAGGCTCCACATTTAAGGAAAGATGGGGACAAATTGGAGAGTCCAGAAGAGAGCAACAAAAATGACAAAAGTTTTAGAAAACCTGATCTATGAGGAAAGGTTAAAAAAACTGGACATATTTGGCTTTGAGAAAAGAAGACTGGGCCATAATAGTCTGCAGATATGTTAAGGGCTACTATAAAGAGGCCAGCAATCAATTGTTCTCCATGTCCTACTGCAGCAAGAGTGATTTAGGTTAGAAATTGGGGAAAACTTTCTAATTGTAAGTTCTGGACTAGGCCTCCAAGGTGGTTGTGGAATCCCCATAATTGGAGGTTTCTAAGAACAGGTTGGATGAACACCTGTTAGGGAGGCTGTAGGTTTACTTGGTCCTGCCACAACGCAGGAGCTTGGATTTGATGATTTCTTGAGGTCCCTTCCAGCCCGACATGTCTATGATTGTTAAAATTCACTAGAAGTAAGATCTACTCCAATTCAAAAAACTGTGCAAAACTTCAGATTGAAGAGGTTAATTAACAAGCTCGTCCCTTTGGCCAAGCTACAAGGTTTCAGCATGAATAGGTAAATTTATGTATGTTTTTCCTAGCTTCAGAATCAATCTATGTTTAACTGTGAGTAATGTGATTAGGGTAGGAAGAAACTAAATGCATCACAGGTAAACAAGAGTCATTACCCTTTTCCTGTTGCAGCATTCAAAAACTGTACAGTCACTCTAACAAGTTCTGGGATTCCCCCAGTCTTCTAGAGGCTGAAATTTCCCTTTTCTGAATAGAATTGCTTAGTGTAAGAAACTTTTAATCAGCATGCCAGGGAAAAAAAGTTTTATTTGACAGAACATTTAGAGGCTATGCATTTCTCTTTTGGAAAGTCTTATAAAATACAGAACTAAAAAGTTTGTCCAGAATTGCTGTACGCACAGATCAAACAAAGTGATATTTAGATAGTACATTCAATTTCCTGAACTCAACTCCACAAGTAGTATACTTGCAAATTTGTTTTATTTCACTTTATACAAAGTTGAAACATGTATTTTGAAAAAGTTTACAGTACCATAGGTCACATCTACTGCAGTAGAAAAAGTTAAACATTGATTAGGGAAAATAAATGTTCTAGTTCATATGGGCTCTATTCAATACAGAGGGCCATCCATGGATTTGAGCCCACCTCTATATAAGCTAAGTGTGGCTTAGCTTATATAGCGGAAGATCAGTACAGAGCCCGAAGCTAGAAAGATTCTAACAAAACATATCAGCTCTGCATCTGCAAATCAAGAGTTCACATAAACTAACTCTCCCCACTTCCTTAGTTGGGACTAGCTCTCCCCTGCTGGGGCCTTGCAGCTGAAAAGCAACTGCAAGTTTAACACTCCCCTCTTCTGAGCTCCATTTAGGAGCTGTAATCGAGAGATACTGTTTAGGTTTTATGGCCACCTTACAACTTTTCATTTGGTTGTTTGACAGTGAATCAGGGATAATTCCCTCTGGATTATGTCCTTAGATGACATGTTATGCCTCGCTGCCATATGCTTGTGTGCAGAAAGGAAATGTTGAGAAGCCAGTTAGGCTGAAATTGGCAATACCTGAACATTCTCAAAAAAAATGAGTACTCCTATAAAATAAAAATTAAAAAGCAGCTCCCATATGCATAGAATCTCTTAATTTGCTAGTGCTTGACATCTGTGTAGTATAAAATTATTTCTCTACTATCAAGGTGTGATCAGATTGTATGAAAGTTGTAAATTTACTCTAGTGCACACAGCCTGGCCTTCAGTGTTGCCTACAGGTGAATTTCACTCCACGTACTTAAAAGAATAGTAGAAACTCAGTAATGCTTCAGACATCAGTACCTGGGAGAAGACAATGATTTTTTTTTATATATATATATATAAAAAAAAAAATAAAAAATAGTACAACTTTGATAATCTAAACAAAATGAGAAAAATCAAGTTCAGATAAGCCAGATTTCAGACAATCATTCGATTGTGAAATGAAACAACATCTAGAGAGAGCCATGTACAGTACAACTTCTGTTATCCCAAATGCCTTGCTATCTGCTACTCACATACCTGCCACAGGGTCCCAACGCAACTGGCCACAGGAACGGTGTTTCGTAAAGAAACAAAGATGGATATGCAACAGATTTTAGATTCCTTAATAGAAATAAACATGGTAGCCACCAAACCTGAAAGGCTTACAAGAACAAAAATATTGGTCTTGTGCCTTTGTTTCTTTCGGAAGTATAAACTCAGCCTGTAATTTAATTTAATTTTTAATGCATTAGAAATATCAAGAAAGTCAACTCTGCTCATCCCTAGGTTTGCTGGAGAAAATGTGTATTATGGGCTCTCACATCTTAAATGAAGGGGAATGGGTTTTGTTTCCAACAATGTCCTTTCTCTAAAGTGTTAGTCACTGAACTTACTTACATTTAAAAACAAAAACAAAAAACTGAGTATTAGTTTGACTAACTCTCCTTCTCAGCTTTCACTCCTGGGATGTCTCATTTCACTAGTTCTTCTGTCACCCACAGTCTTCCAAGCTATATAGGCCTTGCATTTTTATCATAAAAAATAAAATAAACGCTATCCAAAAAAGAAACGGAAGAAAAATACATCCCCTTATAGGCCTTCTTTATATATTATGAAGCATCAAAAAAAGGGTGCAAGCTAATATTTTTTAAAGTCTTTTCCAGGTCACCTTTTAAAACAACCCTAAGAAAAGGCAATAGCAAACATTAATATAGGCTTGTCTTCTTCATGATTCTCAAAAATTCTTGCTCATTTACTTCTCCATCTCCATCTCGATCAGCTTCATCAATCATTTCCTGTAAAGAACATTTTTAAGACTAACAAGCAGACTCAACACAAGACCTTTTATTTACTTTAAAGTAGGGCTCTCAAGTGATTTAAAAAAAAATTAATCATGCTATTAAACAATAGAATAACATTTATTTAAATATTTTGGATGTTTTCCACATTTTCAAATATATTGATTTCAATTACAACACAGAATACAAAGTGTACAGCGCTCACTTTATATTTATTTTTATTACAAATATTTGCATTGTAAAAAACAAAAGACAGTATTTTTCAATTCACCTCATACGAGTACTGTAGTGCAATCTCTATCATGAAAGTTGAATTTACAAATGTAGAATTATGTGCAAAAAATAATTGCATTAAAAAACAAATCGGTGTAAAACTTTAGAGCCGACAAGTCCACTCAGTCCTACTTCTTGTTCAGCCAATCACTCAGACAAACAAGTTTGTTTACATTTGCAGGAGATAATGCTGCCTGCTTCTTGTTCACAATGTCACCTGAAAGTGAGAACAGGAGTTCGCATGACACTGTTGCAGCTGGCATCCCAAGATATTTACATACCAGACGTGCTAAAGATTCATCTGTCCCTTCATGCTTCATCCACCATCCAGAGGACATGCGTCCGTGTTGATGACAGGTTCTGCTCGATAACAATCCAAGCAATGCGGACCGACGTGTTCATTTCCATAATCTGAGTCAGATGCCACCAGCAGAAGGTTGATTTTCTTTTTTGGTGGTTCAGGTTCTGTAGTTTCTGCATTGGAGTGTTGCTCTTTTAAGACTTCTGAAAGCATGCTCCACACCTCATCCCTCTCAGATTTTGGAAGGCACTTCAGATTCTTAAACCTTGGGTTGAGTGCTGTAGCTATGTTTAGAAATCTCACACTGATACCTGCTTTGCGTTTTGTCAAATCTGCAGCGAAAGTGTTCTTAAAATGAACAACGTGCTGAGTCAGGTGAGACTACTATAACATGAAATATATTGCAGAATGTGGGTAAAACAGAGCCGGAGACATACAATTCTCCCTCAAAGAGTTTGGTCACAAATTTAATTAACGCATTTTTTTTTAAGTGAGCGTCATCAGCGTGGAACCATGTCCTCTGGAATGGTGGCCACAGCATGAAGGGGCATATGAATGTTAGGCATATCTGGAACGTAAATACCTTACAATGCCGGCTATAAAAGTCTCATGTGAATGCCTTGTTTTCACTTTCTGGTGACATTGTAAATAAGAAGTGGGCAGCATTATCTCACGTAAATGTAAACAAACTTGTTTGTCTTTAGCGATTGGCTGAACAAGAAGTAGGACTGAGTGGACTTTGTAGGCTCTAAAGGTTTGCATTGATCAGTTTGAGTGCAGTTATATAACAAACAAAAATCTACATTTGTAAGTTGCATTTTCATGATAAAGAGATTGCACTACAATACTTGTATGAGGTGAACTGAAAAAATACTATTTCTTTTGTTTATCTTTTTTATAGTGCAAATATTTGTAATAAAAAATAATAATGAAAACTGAGCAGTGTATACTTTGTATTCTGTGCTGTAACTGAAATCAATATATTTGAAAATGTAGAAAAATATCCAAAATATTTAATAAATTTCAATTGGTATTCTATTAACAGTGTGATTAAAACTGCGATTGATCATGATTAATTTTTTAATAGTGATTGAGTTAATCGTGTGAGTTAACTGCGATTAATCGACAGTCCTACTTTGAAGTATATGAAAAAATATAAAAAGCAAACAAGTTTACACCATGAAATATTTAATTATGCATCTACATTTGGAACACGTTTTGGGTCTAATGCCATATGCTTCATGTACGCTAAATTCCTACTGAATTCAGTGGGTCTTTTGTCCGGTTGGCCAGAACCAAAGTGGTTGTTACCCCTATAAGAGCTACCTCTGCAACTGAAGGCAGAGGAGCAAGGAGGAACAGGGAATGGAAGGGCCGTCTCCTCCAATCTGGTCCAGCCAGGTGACTGGGGATAGGGTGGGGGATATTTATACCGCATAGTTCCAGACAAGCCCTCTCACTGGGATCAGTGATGGGGGAGTGACCACCAAGCCCCACTCTCCTCTAGGGCAGGAGTTACTGAAATAAGTGGGGCAACAGATTTAGCCACAGAGCTAAGGGGGTGGGGATCGTCTATGGGGGGGGGGGGCGTTGCCTGGAACTTGTAGGGTAAACATGCTGTTGACCTCCATAGAAAAGCTTTACACAACTGTTGCAGGCTAATAATTGTTACAGAAACTGCAGGCTTCCCTGAGTGGGAACGCTTGGCAGGTGTAGTTCCGCATGGGCTCAGGTTTTGAATACGGGAATAATATAACTAGGTGGTGAAGACCAAGCAATGGGGTAGGAATCATTAACAATTGCTGCCTGTGTTTCCTTCTGATTGTATCCTTTTGGGTTTCTATTTTGAGATGGAGAAGGGCGAATTAAGAAAATAATGATGACCTGCACTGTGTGATTTATTGCTGGGTAGTCTCAGATATTTTAGGTGAATAAAGTTGTGGCCTAATTAAAACATGTCTATTGCCTCCTGTCTTTCTTTCAGAATAGCCTGACAATTTTGCCTGACAGAGCTAAAGAATTGTCCCAAAGTTTGTTGGGAAATGATTACTAAAGTCAGAATTTACCTGCAATTCTTCATCTGTTAAATTCTCTCCTAGCTCCTTGGCAACTCTCTTTAAATTTTTGAAAGAAATCTTTCCTGTCCCATCATCATCAAATAATCTGAAGGCTTTCAAGATTTCTTCTTTTGAATCTTTCTCATTCTAAAATGAAAATCAAGAAAAAATAAAAACCCATTGTCTAAATGTCCTCATTCATTTATTGCATTTGATTTTTCAGACGAAGTAGATGATTACCATTTTTTGGGTCATCATGGCCAAAAAGTCTTCAAAATCAATGGTGCCACTTCCTTCTTTGTCGATATCTGCTATCATTTTTTTAACTTCTTCTTTCTTTGGCTCAAAGCCTAGAGCACGCATTGCTACCTGCAACAAAGAGCAATTCAGTTAACATATACAACAAGATGCCACTAGAATTATACCTATACCATTTGCATTAAGCAGTGTTTCAGTTCTTTTCCTCAAACTGCAACTATAACTTAAAGCATATAAATCTCAATTCTTATCTACATTTGTCATCCTTTTAATTATTAATGGTAGCATTACATGGTAATGGCATTTTTCCTTTGGAGTGGAGTAGTTTTTTGTGACTTACCGCTCTAACAAAAACAACATAAATTTCTTACCTTAAAAATCAATATGTCATTTATTTTACAGATGAATTGAATTGTTGAACTGGGACTTCAAGTCTCTGCAGGTCTCCTGTTCCCACTGATCCTACTCCTATTGAACTGTACAGCAAAACTCCCACTAATGTTAAGGTAAGGAGGAACAGGCCTCAAGTAAATTATAAAACTTAACTATTCTACTTATTGATATATAAACAGTTAAAAGGAATCCCCATTCCTAGCTCTAGGGACTTTTGATATTTATTTAAAGAGAAAAAAACCCCAAACCTAGAAATGTAACAACTATTAGGTATTTAAGGTCCTTTAAAATCAGTCAGTATGACAGTCAGAAAACAAAATCCCTGCCTTTTATGGGCCATAAACAAAATACAAAACATAACTTTACAAACATGTCATTTAGACCAGGGGTTCTCAAACTTGGGGTCGGGACCCCTCAGGGGGTTGTGAGCTGTCAGCCTCCATCCCAAACTCGGCTTTGCCTCCAGCATTTATAATAGTGTTAAATATATTAAAAAGTGTTTTTAATTTATAAGGGGGTTGTACTCAGAGGCTTGCTATGTGAAAGAGGTCACCAGTACAAAAGTTTGATAATCACTGATTTAGACTGTCATAGATGGGGTTAACAGAAGGTATTTTTAAAATTAAATTTTGTACCTGCAGTCTTTCAACACCTTGAACTATGCTTGCTGCTACTCAAAAAATTTATATAGCATCAGCAGCATGCTAGGTGCCTGAAGCAAATTTAATTTAGAAAGATTAAATTCAGTTTCAAAAATACTTAGATTAGAGTGGATTTGGGGTATGTTTCGATCAACCAAAAATTTGTTTTCTGTATTTCTGATCAAGGAAAATTGCTATTTTTTTTCTTTCCATTTCAGAATGGAACAGTTTCAGAGTCATGAAACTCCTCCCAAATTGAAAAATCCAGTTCCTGAACAGCGCTAGAAATTATGAATGCATGTGACATATTGAATTATTTTATGTAAGAAACATATTGCAAATTTCTGTTATCTTAGCAGCTAAGTTCCTCCATTTGTTCTAAAATTAACTCTTTTACATATTATCAATATATTAATTAGACCAGCCAGACTGTGCTGACAAGGATTAGTGTTTAAAGTCACTGAAGTCAACCGGAGCTGGGAGTAACTCAACACATCTGAAAATCCAGCCTGCGATTTCTCCAGTTGGGCACCAGGGCCGGATTAATGCAGGAGCTTTAGGGGCTGCAGCCTAGGACTTCGGGTGAAGGGAGGGGTCCCCCAAAAATAAATCCATAATTGTATACAATTCAGTGGTCACAAACCTGTCGATAGCAATCAACTGATTGATCCTGGAGCCTCTGCCAGTCGATCGCGATCTCTGGGCCACTAAAAGTCCAGCGGCGCAGCAGGGCTCAGGCAAGCTGTCTGCATGCCATGGCCCCACGCTGCTCCCGGAAGTGGACAGCTGCTGGCATATCTCTGCAGCCCCTGTGGGGCAAGTTAGAAGCACCTCTCCCTGCTGCCCCAGCACTGTCCCTGCAGCTCCCATTGGCCAGGAACTAGCCAATGGGAGCTGCGGGGGCGGCACTTGCGGGCAGCCCATGGAGACACGCTGTCCCCCTCCCCCCAGGGAGCACAGAGACGTGACAGCAGCCGGCCACTTCCAGGAGTGGCTTGGTGCCACAGCATGCAGACAGGCAGCCTGCCTGAGCCCTGTTGCCCCGTCAGCCGGGAGCCGCCTGTGGTAAGCGCCTCCCGGCCGGAGCCTGCACCCAACCCCCTGCCCAGGTCAGAATCCCCTCCTGCACCAAACTCTCTCCCAGAGCCTGCACCCCTCAACCTCTCCTGCACCCCAACATTCTGCCCCAGCCTGGAGCTCCCTCTTGTACCCAAACTCCCTCCCAGAAAGAAACGAATATAACAGCTGTTCTAAGGTAAGAAGTAGGCTATTTTGAATTAACTACCTCTATTCTGCATGTTTTAAGACTGAAATGTAACCACGGAATGCCTTTATGTTAATTAAAAGGCAAGTTTAGTATAGCATTAATAGCCTTGATGCCATAATTGTGATAATTTTGTTTTAAATTAGGAAAAAGACTTGTATACAGGGGCCCCACAAAATCTAATAGTCCCAGGCCCACAGGAGAATTAATCTGGCCCTGTTGGGCACCCAAGCATTGGTTTACATTTGTAAAATTTAATTCTCAGAAAACAAGCCATTTCATATATTATTTGTGACTGACAATGCCAGTCTACAACTGAGTTTGGACACTGGTGAATAGAGCAGGTCAAGAGCTACAACTTTGAAAATAAACATAAAGAAAAAGTTACAACCTTCAGTTCTTTTACATCAATGCTTCCAGATCCATCAGTATCAAACAAATCAAAAGCTTCTCTGATCTCCTGCTTTTGTTCTTCAGTTAGTTCTGGTTTTGATCCACTTTTCTTCCGCTGGGCAGCACCCAAGCCAGCTTTTCTGTAGTTAGATGCCTTCAATAAATGAATGAAAGACAAAAGTTGGTAAAGACCCATTTCTAAAAATCAAACCAAAAAATACTCAGCAATAGTAGAACAAAGATGTTGGCTCAGTTCTGGCCAGCACTCAGAATCCTTTTGCTCAGAGTATCAGGAACCACCCCAAAGAGAAAGTGGATAAACACTTTAGCTAGATGTTTCTGCCAGAATAATCAGCAATTAAATAATTAACACTGTTTACACAAACTGTCATCTTTCAGTGGCAGTAGTAACATACCACTTAGATGACTGAGGATGTTTATATTTCTTGACTACAGCTTCAGTCTGTCTGCAGAGAACACGGCATTAATTTAACCTTGAAAACGTTAAGAGAAATCTATCTTCACAACCATAATGGCTAGCACTATAGGCTTCAACTTTGAGCATGACTGAAGGGTACCTCAATACTCGTTCAGCACAGAAATGGGAGTGCTTATTCTGGGATTATTTGGAGCTTGCCCCTGGTTAAATTACAGCAGCCTCTGAGCTGCTGTAACTTGTACTCTTTAATTGGCACCCTGGGCCACAGAAACCAGAAAATGGCGAGTATAGCACCTAGCTCTAATACACCCCTAAGTCACTGGCAGTCAGAGAGAGGAAAGGGGGCTGGCTATGTAGGAGCCAGCTATGCAGGGTGTATTCCCCAAGTAGTATAAAGGGGACATATTCCAATGGAGAATTGCATTCCTTCCACCTCCTCCTTTTTTTTTTTTTTTTTATTTAAAGCTTAGAATCTGGAGTACAATTCTGCAACATGAATAGCAACTTCCACTGCATCTCTGAACACAAGAGGCTTCAGCCTGCTTTCAGTCCTGATTCTTGACTCTGCCTGGGTTCACATGAAGACAGTATTTAAAAGTTCAAACTTTATGGGCGAGAAAAGTAAATAAAAAGTTTATTACAATGGAAGTTTAATTTTGCACTTAGTAGGAAAAGTTTCTTACCTGTAGTAAGAAATTAGACATTTCAGGCCCTGCCCTAACTTTCTGTCAGTAGGAATGCCACTAAAGTAACATTTTTTAGATTCTATTTTGGGTTGGAATTTTATTTTTAACGTGACTTGTCCATACCAGGTTGGCTTAGGAACCCATTATTCCAGCAAATCTCTCTCACTTTTCTTTCCATTAACATGGCTGCTCCAGATTTTTAATATTTAAAAACCCCTAAGATATCACATTTAAGTAATAGAGGGACTCACAGGGAGACTCTCTAATTGAAAAGGAAGGATAAATTGTTATACAGCAGAGGCCCAAACCTACTGTCTTTCAAAATTTCCATACATCCAATTGATCAAATGGACACTACTTATTGTTCTTTCCGCACATTTCAAATTTTAACATTGCACAATTCTTCAGTGCAAATATTCCATTTGCATTCTTTTCTTGCCCACATAATTGCTGTGTATGCTAACTGACAGTCAGACACCAGAACAGGGTAAATTAATTAGGAGAGCACATTTACCCATTCTAAGTGGCACTGTGTGTGTTCCCTGCATGTTACCACACCCAAAATTCAAACTGCAGATTAGCCATGTTTGGTATTTTATCTCTACTAGACAAAAGAGTGACATCACTATGTCACCCCGAAAAAAGGAATTTTTACCTGTCCTACTGGAATTAAACTTGGGTAAGTTTATTTTAGCATCCTGCAATCTAGCCAAAATCAATAATGCCCCATAACATAACAAAAAAAAAAGTGAAATAGGTGGAAAACCTGAACAGACTAGTTTTCTAGGGGCTGAGCAGCAGCTCTTCAAGGTGAGCTCAAGTGTCTTAGCCTCTCTGACACTTTCTCTCGGTGTAGCTCAGAGAAACAACAGGACTGATTCAGATAGGTGCTTACCAAAGACCCCAGGTCAAGGGAAGTGTGTATGGATTAGTAGTCACATGGGGATGAGCCACCCTAGGACATATGCAAGCAAATACAGGATACTCGCTAATCGGGGGTCTCCTTATAACTTAAAAAAAAAAAAAAAAAAGCAGCACCAGACCCACTCCTTGAATGATCAACCTCTAAGACCCAGAATCCCCTGCACGAGGCCAGAATCTAGCAGCCTGTCTGACCAGAGTTGAAGAGGCTCCTATATTAACCCCTTGGCAGGATGTCCACGATTTGATGGTAACAGCTTTAAAAACAATAGAGCCAGTGCTTAGAGCGAACACCACCCGCGTGCCAGCTTGTTTGGAACTCGCCCTGCACCTTCCCCCTCCATCGCAGCTTTGCCCAGAGGGCCCAGCACTGGCTGCTGCAGCAGGGCTGGGATCCCACCTCATCTTCACACAGGGCGGCCAGGCTCGCCGCTTTGGGTCGGGACGGGCTGTGCCACGGTGCCCAGGCCCGGGGGTTGGCAGCTTGTCTCCCCCAGGCCTGGGGAAGGGTTCCCGGCGCACTCTGATGGCCGGGGCAGGTGGGGGCGGATTTACCAGGCCAGTCCTGCTCGGCGCGGGGGGAGGGGGCGTGCACACTCACCATCCGACACGCGGCACTGGGGCTCGCGGGGCGCTGGATGGGGCTGACGCGGGGCGTCAATTGTTCTGCCACCAGCACACACGGAGTGCCTCTCCTTGGTCGGGCAACGCGGCCGGTCCAATGACCAGCGAGAACGCCCCCGAAGCCCCGCCCGCCTCCATACCCGGGGCCAGTCAGGTGCGGCGGGCATTGTGAGGTCACACCGAACGCCATGTTGTCCGTTGGCTTGGATACACACTACAAACGCAGGCGTCGTTGTCCTGGCAACAAATCCCCGTTTTAGCTGCCGCCGGGAGCTTGGGCGCATGCGCCTGCCCGAAACGACAGAAATCCCGCGCTGCGTGCGCGGCTGTTCGGCCGCGTCTAGAACGGCAGTGACCCTCCTCCGCGGGCGGCCCGGGCCTCCCCTGCGCGTGAGGGAGAGCGAGAGCGGGGCTGGCGGCGGAGAGCGGTCAGTAGTTCTGGCGGGGCTCAGCGGCTGCAGGGGCGGCGGGTGTCCCGATCCCACACGGGCAGCAGAGCAGCCCTGCCTCTGGTGAGGGCCCAAGCCGCGGAACCCGGCTTTCAGCTGCTGTGTGAGTGGGGTTTGTCCATTTCCCAGCTGGGGTAACAACAACCCAGCCGGGGGTCGCGCTAGTAACTCCCGCGGGAATCCGTGTTCTCTCCCCTCACTGCGGGCACAGCGCCTGCGGGGCGCCTGGCTGGCGGGGAGAATGCACGGTGGGGCCAGCACCTGTGAAGGATGGGCTGCGAAGAGAGCCTCTCCGCTGAGACACCTTCGCAGTGGCTCCAAGGGGCTGGTCTAGGCGGAGGCATTCCTGGGAGAGAAAGTGTCTGGGGGGCTATGTAGTTTCCGACTTGAGTACAATACTAGAGCTTGTGAAGAATACCTTCCTTACGTGCAAACAGGTAGAGTCAGGAATGCAGCAGTAGACAATCTGATGCCTATGCACCTACTCAGGGCCCAGTGTGTTCTGAGATAGGGTGACCAGATGTCCTGCTATTACTGGGACCATCCTGTTATTAGGGGCTTTGTTTTATGTGGGCAACTATACATCTGCTCCCTCTCCCCCACCCCAAAAAAAGTGTCCTGATTTTTCACACTTGCTATCTAGTCACCCTAGTTCTGAGATGCTGTGGAATTTACCATCCCTGTTGCAAAATTTAACTTCAGGTTCTAGACATTAATTTAAAATAAAAAAAGGAGGGGGCAATTCTCCATTGAGCTATGTGTCCCCTTTATGCCACTCTGGCAATGTTTAAAGGACTTAGGGAAAAGTTTTCAACTAGCAATAATCACGCCTCGGATTAATCTCATTAGCTATGATACTGCCACTGTGCAACACCTTGCATAAGTGGCTCCTGCACAGACAGTCCCCCTTCTCTGCAGCTGCTGGTGGTTTAGGGATGTAGTAAGTCTACACAACTGCTGGGAGCATGCTTCCCAGAGCAGCTAGATAGACCCACACTAACTCCACCCAAACAAGCATGGTAAAAATAGCAGGGTGGCTGTGGTGGCATGGGTGATATCTTGGGCTAGCCCCCCAAGTACATAGCTGCCCAGCCCCCCAAGTATGTATTCAAGTGAAAAAGAAATGCAGTCTTTTAAGATTAAGGCTTGGTCTACACTGCCAACTTATGACTGTAAAATAACTACATAATTGAGTAACGCAATTATACCAACCAAACTCCAAGTGTAGACTGTGTTATGTCAACAGGAGGGCTTTTCCCTTCAACATAGGCACCACCTCCAGAGCCGGCTCCGGGCACCAGCCCAGCAAGCAGGTGCTTGGGGTGGCCAACGGAGAGGGGAGGCATGTCCGGCTCTTCGGCGGCAATTTGACCGCGGGTCCCTCACTCCCTCTGGGAGCAAAGGACCAGCCGCCGAATTGCCACCGAAGACTGAAACGGCGGCGGTAGAGCAGATCGCGATTGCGGCTTTTTTCACTTTTTTTCTTTTTGCTGCTTGGGCGGCAAAAATCCTGGAGCCGACCCTGACCACCTATCGAGGAGGTGGAGTACTCACACTGACCAGAGAAGCTCTTCAGTCGGTGTAGGTAGCATCTTCCCTAAGCACTGCAGAAGCACTAGTGCAGCTGTGCCACTGCAGTACTGTAAGTGTAGACAAGCCCCCTGTCTCTAGCCAGAAAAATTTCTGAGAAACTATCAGTCTCCAAATAGCAATATGCTTGAGGTAGATGGGATAAGGAATTGCTGTTACTCTGCATGGTTCATAGTAAACTAAAACATTTTTCAGCTGCCAGTTTTCCAGTAACTGCAGCTCCACCAGGGCTAGCAATGGGGTGTGTGGGTGGGTATGTGCACTTATGTACAGACAATTCAGCAGTTTTTACTAACACTTCATGATAATATACTAAGAGCTGGAAAATTGATTCAAAATGTTATAGTGTAGAAAGACCTTTTAAAGATTAAGATGCTACTGAGGAAAGCAAAGCAAAGTAATACAAACATACGGTCTCTCTTTCTACTTCAGAGTGTAAAAATAAGATGCAATTTTAGGCCAAAAAAGATGATGCAATGAAACAAATTCTTTTCTAGAAAAAGAGTATTCTTCTGCTCTGCTGTTTACAGAGGATAGGCTTTCCAGTGGAGTTGGTCCTGTAAGTCAGGTAGGGTTGGTAAAAACCCATTAAGGCAGTCAAAGGGTCTCAGGCTAGTTAAAACATCACACCCCCTAGGTGACATAGTTATGCTGGAAGAACCCCCAGTGTAGATGCAGCTGTGCTGACAGAAGAGTGCTTCTGTCGGTGTAGCTGATGTCACTCGGACGTGGCTTTCTGTTGGCATATACTGTGTCTACACTACGGGTCTTTGCCAGCATAGCTATACCAACGTAGCTAGGCTGGCAAAGCATTTGCAGTGTAGACAAGGCCTCAGTTTCTCCATTGATGCTTCTCCATAGACAATTCCACCTCTTACTCTTTTGTTATCTTACAGGGTCTTCCTCCTTTTCTTTCTTCACCCTTCCCTGGCCTTTTCTGATTTAGGTAACTTGAAAATATAACCCAAACTAACTTTTTCTTTTCTTTTTTTTCTTTTCTTTTTTTTTGATGGGTGGAGAAAGTGGGGAGAAAGAAGTATGAAACAACGATATTCTAAATGCAATGTCTTGTACTACATGTTGATTTCCTGTGTTACAGTCACGTGTATGTTATGGTTATTACCAATATACATGTATGCATGATGGAAGAGAAAAAAGTTACAACCTTTTACAGCTCAAAAATGAGTATCCTGGCTCTTTTAAATAAAATGTCTCAAGCAAAAGATACCCAAATTGCTTTATGACCCGATATACAAGTTATACATAGCATTGTAGGGATTACTTCACATCTCTAGTATATCCTGTAGGCTGAAATGAAGCATCTGTTTTACAGCAGCAGTCCAGATTTAGGACAGGAAGTGAGGATTACCTTTTTCAGTTGAAATACCAGGGGAAACTTTAGGTGAACAGTCTGTAATTGACAGTGTTGGAATTTGACCATAGCGCTGGTGTGACTGCCTCTGTTTTACAGAAGGTGCCACCGTATCTGTTATCACAAATCACAGGACTTTGGTTTTTCATCTCATCTGATAGACAGCACCAAGGTGCCTCTTAACCCCCATGCAGAAGCACAGGTTTAGTACTGAGGCACATCTTCCTCAACAGGTAGAAAACTTTGATGGGACTGCTGGTGATTGGGTCAGTCCCAGTAGAAACAGAGAGAACACCACTCATTGGTGGGGGGGGTGTGTGCAGGGGTGGCCCTTTCCCCCTCCAGAGGCTTTATCTACTCACTGGCCAGCTAGAGAGGAAGGGAGCTGATTGGTTTCTCATTTTCCCCTTTCATAATTTAAACCCTAGCTTGGCCCATGTGGAGCCTCTTTTTGCTCAGCAGCCCCACCCTGTTACCTGTAAGTATATTTTCACAGCTGTGTCTTGCAGATGCTGCTGGCCTGACCAGTTGCCTGTCTGGGGGTCAGGAAGGGGTTTTTCTTCTATTGGGGCCAAATTCTCATAGTTCTGGTAGAGTTTTTCTTTTTTTCCCCTTCCTCTCAGCATCCTGGAGGTGCACTTAGGTTAAATAGGAATAGGATTGAGGCCAGGTCTACACTAAAACGTTAGGTCAACCTAGCTCTGTTGTTCAAGAGTGTGAAAAAGCCAACCTAACCCCAGGTGTAGTCAGTGCTAGGTAAATGGAAGAATTCTTCAATCAACCTAGCTACTGCCTCTCGGGGAGGTGGATTAACTACAGTGACAGGAGAACCCCTTCCCTCACTGTAGTGAGCGTTTATGCTGAACCGCTGCAGCAGTTTGTGTGGACATAGCTTTGGTAGTTGATAGGGATGTTAGTTTGTTGCACCTTGCAGCCACTTTCCAGTGCATTTAAAAAGGATTCCCAGAAGTAGAAGACCTGGGCTTTGTGCTGATGGGATGTGGAAGACGTTATGGCCTTCACGGGCTGATGCCTCCTACCATTTAGTAACCTCTGTCCCCCTCATGGGTGGTGGGGATACTGATAGGATTCAGAAGAGTGAGCTGAATCCTAGGAGTAAGCTGAGAGGGTCTGCTCTAAGTTATTGGTTCATTTGGTAGGAACCTTGTAACTCCTGCACTGAAACCATTTAAAATGTCTGGTATGTGAGCGTATGGGTGACAGGACAGCAAGTTCCCCACAAGTTTAATGAAGTTTCAGCCTCCTGCTTAAAATCCATCCTTGTGTCTGTCTTCATTCGCCACAGTGTCTGGATAAATAAAGAAATAATGGTGTAACTGGCAAGTAAAATTGTTAAGGATTCCACTAATGAAAAAGGAGGATTGTTTGTGGAAAACACTGATAGATAGCATGACAAGCCTAGATTATTACCACAAGAGGCTGCCAAGAAAAGTTGCCAGAAACACTTAGGCCTTTTTTTCTTTTTTTAGGTGCACATTCCCCTTCCCATCCCTCTTCAGTACAATTTCAGAAGTTAAAATGAGTTGCTTATTTAAAATCCTATTTTAAAAATAATCACAATAATTATAGACGTGGAATAAAATTATTCTGAGTCAGTGATTCTCTTGGAACTGACTTAAATTTTACTTAAGTCTTACTAAGTAAATTGAAAGCAAGTTGTGTTCAATTCAAACTTCAATGGTTCCTTTAAGCCTTAGTTCAGAGGTAAGATACTTTTGGCTCGTCATTGTGGCCTACAAAGACATTGCATGGAACAAATGTATAAATTAACCTGTAAAAATGTTGGTGTCTTGCATGCAGAACTTTAAAGATTTACTAGGCAGCCTTGTTAATGGAATGGAAGGTGGACGGGGGATGTCATGAAAAGAGACAAGGATGAATAAATAGTAAAGGCAAAGTTATGTGGGGACAAAAAGCTTGATCTTGACTGTGGGACAGGAGGGTAAGTCATTGGAGGAATTCAAAGATAGGGTGACATGGTCAGAACAACAAACAAGGCAGATGATTTTAGCAGTGGCATTTTATATAGTCTGGAGGGGGGATTATGTGGGTGTCAGAGAGGCCAAAGAGTAGAAGGTAATATATTAGAATAGGAGGGGTTGGACAAGAATTTTAGCTAGAGGGTCAGTGGGAAAAGTTTGGATCTTGGGGCATGCCTACATAGGGACACTCAGGCAAGTTCAGATAAATTAACTAAATTTGTGACTTTAAATTGCATTAGTTAAAGCTTATTAAACCCCTCTGTGGATGCTCTTGGTCAGAAGTAAAGTGGTCTTAGTTTGCTTTGGCTTAATTCACAGTGAATTAACTTTCCTGAGTGACATGCCCTTAGAAATCTTGTGATGGGAGAAGCAGTGTAATTTGTAAATGGACTGAACGTTTGGGGCAAGTAAGGTGGAGGAGTCAAAGAGGACTACCAGTTTATGGGCCTGAGTGACAGGGAGGAGAGCAGATGGTTCCACACTGAAAGAGGCTGTGGAGTGGAGAGGTTATATAGGGAAAGAGAAGGCATTCAGTTTTGACACGTTAAAGTGATTTTAAAATTGTTTTTCTCTGAGCAGTGCCTTTGAAGTCCAAGCTGTAAAATCTTTGTATTTTATTCATGAGGCATAAAAAGTATGGCTTTAGACCAGTGGTTCTCAAACTTTTGTACTGGTGACCCCTTTCACATAGCAAGCCTCTGAGTGCAACCCCCCCCCCCATATAAATTAAAAACACTTTTTTAAATATATTTAGCACCATTATAAATGCAGGAGGCAAAGCAGGGTTTGGAGTGGAGGCTGACAGCTCGCGACCCCCCATGTAATAACCTCACGACTCCCTGAGGGGTACCGACCCCCAGTTTGAGAACCCCTGCTTTAGACCATTTTTTCATGACTATGTTAGGAGAGCCTGCAATTGAGTGGGAATGGAATACGGTAATTGGTCCCTTTCCAGCTCAGTTTGAAGTCAGTGGTATCACTAAGGGTAGTAAAACCTATGCCTACTACTGTTTGCAGACAAGATATGTTTCCAGCCCTAACAACATGCATTCTGAATAAGACAAATGCAAGATTTGACATAAGAAAAGAAGTCGGGAGAGGAATGGTTTGGGTATGGTCTTAAGGAATGGTGGTCTTTTTTTATTATTAAATCTGATCTGCTTTATTAAATAAAATATTTGATTTATAGGGTAAAATTAAAATAGCTTTTAATTTTGAGGAAAAAATCTTCTGTAATGTCTTTGCAGTGCAACATTTCAACAACTGCATGCGTCCGACATGAACATTTTATAATACAATACACGCAGTGTAAAATTACTTCACCCAATCTGTATTCAGTTACTTTTTGTTAATTATATATTGTGTACAGATAATTTTTTGTGAAGTCTAGCACAATAAGGACAGAAGCAATAAACTTGTATTTTGTTTACAGATATTGACTGCTGATCATGGCTTTCAGAAATGTGAACAGAAGACGTCACATTGGACTTCAGCAGCTTTCATCTTTAGCATCAATAGGAAGAACACTTTTAGGGCCAGTAAAATCATATAAATTTATTGTAGATGAAAGCACCAATGAGAGTGTTTTGACTTGTTCTGCAGTTAGACTTCTTGAAAGTTTGGATTTAACTAGTGCAGTGGGACAGCTTCTTAATGAAACAATTCAGGCACAGAACAAAGAATATAAAACTGGAATGACTACCCAGTTATTTCTCATTGGTGTATGGAGCAGTGCTGTACTTGAATGCCTTCAGCAGAATGTTCCTTTTTCACTAATAGTATCTGTGATGTCTGAAGGATTGAACTCTTGCAGTGAAAAAGTCCAGTGTCTTCAGCTCTCAGTACATGATTTATATAAAGGGCCTGATTCTGTTCCCATTCACTTCAGTTCTAGCAGTTTGGGGCCCCAAATTATTGAAAATAAAACTCCTGGTATTGGAGCTAACAGTTTTTTAAATCCTTTTGTGCATATTCTTAAAGAGGTTCCTGTATCTAAAGAAGAAAGTGTTCCAGAAGGCCTTCATTCTCATCAAGCAAGCCCTTGCGATCTTCATAACAGATGTTTGAATTCACACCTATGCCCTACAGACTATATAACACCCTCATTGGTTGAACTAGTGGGCAATAAAACTATGCCTGCAGTTCCTGGAAGCAGTTTGATTGCATCCAGCTATACCAAAAGAACAAGATTAACTCATAGTAGATACTTTAACACTCCAGGAAAAAAACATTGTTCACTCCAAGTAGACAGTTTTGGGGGTCCTCCCACTGGGCCTGTAGCATGTCCTTATGAATTTAATGATTTTGAACAATTGGCAATGGCTCTTAGCCATGGGAATCAGTCTAGCATGAAATTGGTACAGGATATTGTCAGATGCCAGCAACAAGTAGCTGATCACACAGGTTCTTCTCAATTTAATATTGCAGAAGTTGTGACATGCTGTTTACCAGGATTGTCTGAACATTATTCTTGTGTGTGTCCAGGGTATATCACTTTAGTATCACCAGAGAAAGCCACTGTTACCAAGCAACTTCAGGATAGACCGCTTCAGATTCTTCTTGTAGATGGTGATCTAACGGAAAAGTATCGTCACTTGGGATTTAATAGACCATCAAATGTCAGAACAATATCGGAAAATGTAGGTTTACAAGAAAGTAGCTCAGAAAGTTTATGGATAAATTGTGTGTTAGATATTTTAATACAAGCAAAAGTAAATTTAGTTTTGGTAAAAGGAAATGTGTGTGAAAGTTTAATGGAAAGATGCATCCTGAATAACATATTGATAATCAATCCAGTAACTCTCAATGTGCTACATGCTTTTGGGAAGGGCACAGGAGTGCAGCTGGTGACATACCTTTCCCAGGTAAATAGTCATTGTATGGGTAGCAGTGTCTGGGTGGATTTCTGGAGAACTGGTGACTTGAGCACAATGGAATTGGATAACAAAGTGCCAATCAGGATAAAAGCTGAAGGAATTCATCTGGTAACAGCTGTGCTTAGTAGCACAGTAACTTCAAAGATGCAAGTCACTGAAGATCAGTTCTGGACTTGTGCTTATCGCCTGCATCATGCTCTAACTGACCAGAAAGTTTTTCCTGGAGGTGGTGCTGTTGAACTTTTGTGCCTCAGTCATCTTAAGACGCTTGAAGAACAATCATTAAAGCAACCAGATAAAAAACCTTCAGGGGATTTTTACATGTCATCTTGTTGGCTGACAAAATCATTGACACAGTATAAACCAGTTGTGCTTAAAGCTCTGGCAAGTGGTTGGCATCAGTACCTTTCAAGAGTCATGTGTAACACTGCTCATTATGCATCAGAGTTTGAAGCAAGCACTTCCATTGAGCATCATCTCAAAAAAGCAGCAGACTGTGGTTCTCCTTCAGCATATATTCTGAAAGAGTTCAATAAGGGAGATAAGGTCATGGGGGAGTTTGGTCTTTCAGCTAAACCCCAGGAGGCTGTAAAGATATATGACAATGTTACACCCAAGGTGGAGGCATGGCGCAGAGCTCTAGACTTGGTGCTATTAGTGCTTCAAACAGATGCTGAAATTATCACAGGTCCTAATAGAAATCAGTTATTAAATTCACATGTATCCAGTGAGTTCATATTTTTATAGGACGTGGTAGGCTTTATTTAGGACTCTAACTCAGTGGGTGGAAAATTTGCAGGTACACAGTGTTTGTGCAGCTATAAAGCAAACTTTTTAGGGGTTATGCCAATGATATTTACAAATAAAATTCAGCACATGGATGTAGAGACAAATTAGATAATGCTGTAGCTTTTACTTTCTAGAAATGGAGTTTGCATCTTGGTGTCCATCCAATCTACACTGTGACAAGGTCAAACTGATGCATGAGAGAAGTATGAAGCTGCTAGGTGGAGATACTAATGGAAATGAGCTCAATGTCTCTAAGCAACAATATTGCCTGTTGTTTCCCATGCTCTCTCTATTAACTCTCCTCCCCACTTCTTATGCTACGTTGCATAGGAAGCAGAAAATATAGCTCCAGACTCTTCAGGTGGAGAGAAAAGACTGAAATTTGGTCTGGGTTTCTGGCATGTTTGTGCTTTGCAAAACAGTGGCGAGGGGGCAGCTGAGGGCTTCATCTACAGATTTCCCTTTACTACAAAGTCAGTTCTTGCCCTTATTCACCTGCTACAGCAGAGGAGTAACACCCTTCTGTCTCAACTGCTGTTTTTGTGGGTGTTCTGTGATTTTTAAGGGGGCTTTGCTTTGTCTGTCTACCCTCGTTTCTTATTTCTAGTGGATTTTTTCATATAAGAAACTTCAGGTCTTGTCTACCCTGTTCCTGGAAGAGCTTAGATGACTCAAATACTAGTGAGATTGACATCACAAGTAACAAATGTTTTTTAATTGCCCCCCCCCTTTTTTTTGGTGACCACCATTTCCCCAAATGCCTGATGCTGTTGAGAGGGACGATTCAACACTTCACCCCTTTAGCTAAGGGTTGAGAAAGCTCCTTCTCTGTTTCTCTGGACTTCTATGAAGAGCTCAACCAAAAACAGGGAAGAGAAGTCTTTATGCAAAAAGTACAATGAGGAAAACCCTACATCTTGTGCCTTCTGCGTGGATGAGGAAATGGGCACTTTCTTTGCAGGTCCTATTCTAAGTGCTTCAGAGACTAGCTATTGTCAGTTGAGGGGAAATTGCTCTGTGTTTGGAAGTCTGAGAAGGTGAGAAGTATTAAGCATACTTCACTGAATATTATTCCAAGTAGTGAATACCCAGGATCAGCTCCTCAGCTGGCCTGAATCAATGTTGTGATGTTAACTTCAGTAGGTTCATGCCAGCAGAGGATCAGGCAACAAACTTGCCACCAACAAGTGCTCAGGTGACCATATAAGACATTACGCAGTTATGTCAGAGGGGTAACTACTCTCTTGGAAGAGGGAGCTTCCCTATGCCTCTATTTAGAGAGGGTGCTGAGAGGTCCTCCTAGAAGAAATAGCAGTCATGGTGGTATCTATAGACATAGTAGATATGTTAAAAGTGGAATCACAAGTATTACTAGTTAAGATTGAGGTGCACTGGAAAGAGTTGACTGAGAAAGCTTGAACTGTGCCTGGCTCAAGCCATTGCCATTACCTTCCTTTTCCTAAGTGTTACTTTTCTTACAAATTTAAGTGAATTTTAAGAACATTTGTCTCCTGTGAGAAGGGAGACTAGCTTTCATATTATATAATATTACTCCCCAAAAGGTTATATTTCCAACTTTTATTAAACAGAAACCTGCCTAGGGGCTATATTATAGTCTTGGGCATGACAATTTACCTCTGTGCCTCATTTTCTATATTTTAAAAGGGGGATGATCATATAGACCAGTGGTGGGCAACCTGTGGCACATCAAGGTAATCTAATTGCGGGCCATGAGACATTTTACTGACAATGACCATCTGCAGGCACTGCGCCCCACAGATCCCAGTAGCCACGGTTCTCTGTTCCCGGCCAATGGGAGCTGTGGGAAGCGGCGCTTGCAGGTGAAGGGGCCGCAAGGATATGCTGTCCGCCGCTTCCTACAGCTCCCATTGGCCAGGAACAGAACCATGGCCACTGGGAGCTGTGTGGTGTGCCTGCGGATGGTCAACGTCAGCAAAATGTCTCGCAGCCCGCAATCAGAGTACTCTGATAGGCAACCTGCGGCCCGCACGCAGCCCATCACTGGTATAGACCTTATTTATAAAGTGCTTAGAGAGCTATGGATGAAATATGCTATCTAAGAGGTAGGTAGGTATTCTTTTGAATTAAATTTAATGTAATATAGCAAAAGACAAATGTTTGTTTAGATTTACACATCCTTTATAACCCCTTTTCATTTCAGTTTAATATAAAAAACTATTTGAAAATATCTATATTTTGAACTTGTACTGACAGTATAATGTGTGTTTTGGCGCACTACAAAAAGCTGCTGTATTTTTAATGTTCTTTAGTGCTATGGAAAGACAGGGAAGAAGGAATCATTCATCCATTTTAAATATGTATATAAAATGAGAATGTGTATATGGATATGCCTTTCAATATACTACTAAGTCAATTTGTACATACTGCAAATACAAATTTAGTACTCTAGCCTGCAGTAGATTATACTCATTAGTACTACATGTGGTATTGTTTGCAGGAAGAGACCATACTTTTGTGTTTATAAATAGGGCATACATTTCTTATTGTAAGAAATATATACTACATAGGCTGTCAAATCTTGGAAAAGGTCTCACTTGAAACACCCCCTTTTGACAATATTTGCCCCCTCTAAATAAAATAAAATTAAAGTCTACCTGGTTTCCTTTGGGTTCTTTTGGTTATCCCTTTTCAACAAAACAAGGGATGACGCTTTACAGCCAGCATTCTATAATGCTTTCATTGTGGCAAAAGACCAAATCTGAGTCTGGATAATTTAGTCAAGAGTCATTTTACCATCTAGCAGTATTTAAATAGTAAGCCGAGCCAAGATGGAATTGGTATTAGTTGTAACAGAAAAGCTTATAACTGTGGAGACAAGTATCTCAAACTAATACTTTGAGTAAACCTCACGGTGAGTGTTTCATACTTTGGGTGAAAACAAAATAGAAAAAAGACTGTAAATGGTGGTACTAAAACTAATTCCTGCTCTTGAGCATTTTTCTGTCATCACTGTAATGGCTGACACCATTTGGATTAAATATGATTAGATTTACTCATCAAAACCACTGCTGCTATTTGTAATCTGATTCTATACACTTCTTTTGGGGTGGGGTATCGGCATGACATTGGAGGCCAACAATTTTCTAGAGGGGAAAAAAAAGCTGTTTTACTGTAAGTCCTGGCTCAGTAAAAGGACAGTCAGAAAATCAGAGCAGTTACTTAAAAATATTGTAAATGTGGTGGGCCTTTGTCACTTCCTATGTATTGGTCTGACTAGATGTCTCCCTTTTCCTTTTGGCTTCTCGTCCTGTGTCTCTCGCTCTAGAGAAGGTATTGTGGAGCAGAGGGATGAGCTAGCTCAAGCACCACTGTCCAACTACAGCCTTCCCATTTACTCTGATGGCTCCTTGACCCATTTATTCATTCTCCAGCCCTCCTGCTTCCTGTCATAGACACCACCATATCCAGGTGCCTTGCAGCCTTCTGAAGCTCCTCTGACGGCCCATCCCCTCAGACACCTCAATTAGTTTTGTCAGCTCCTGATGACTATAAATAGCTAAAGCTTGTGGGAAAGAAGGTTTGGGGGGGGGCGGTCCCTAAGAAGTCTCTGTTAGTGGGCTCCAAGTGTATGGCACCAGACCTAATCTAAACCTTGGGCCCTTCATACTAGCTCATCTCCCTACCTTTCCTCATCTCCCATATATTTTGGCTCTTCCAACCCCCTTTTTCCACCCACAATTCCACAACACTTCACCTATCCCTTGCCCTGTGAAAAATATTCCACTTCCTCATTTCCACCTGAAACAGCCCCTGGCTCCCACAGATTACTGGCCATTCTTCTGCAGTAACCCCATTTCTCCCCTTTCACAACACACCTGGTATTGTCGTATCCCCACAGCCTACGAATACTTTAAGGATTCCCACAGCAAGCCAGATATCCAACTCAGGCCCTAAACAAACCTTGGGCATGGGGTGAAGACAGGGGTCCCTAAGGAGTTTCTCCTGGTCTTCAGCTGCCCAGAGGACCATTGTCACTACTTACATGACATGGGCCCACCAAATGTCCTTTATGCCCTCTACATAATCTGGATGAAACAGATCCTCAGTTTACATAACTTGGTGTAGCTCCTTTGACTACATTGGCGTTATACTGCTTTACACTAGCTGACTATCTAGTCCAATGTGAGGTATACAGAGAGGAATTATAAGACTAATAAAATTTTCATAGATAATATCTATATAGGAGATGCTGCTCATAGCTATGTTGTTAAGGTCATATTGAGAGTCCATATAGCCATGAAATATAATCTATGACACACACATTCTACTAACATATAATTGAAAGAAGCTATTACTATGAACATTTTTGTGATTAAAGGAGCAGATTTTTTTGTTGATTTTTCAAAAATGTCAAATAAAAACTTTTAAAATGGCAGCCCTAAATGTAAGTCTACTTCAAAAAGTTAAAAAAAAATCTCCACATTTATTTGGCTTTCTCTAACATAAAATTGTCTATAAACTTCAGAATTCAGGAATAGGTAAATTTTGGAACACTCTCATGCCTAGTATAGGTTTTTAGAATTTTAGTTTTGAAACAAGTTACTAACACTTTTCAACAGAATAGACCAGATCTCCTTCAGCTACTTAGTGATTAAATCTTTAATCATCCAGGGATTCATTTTTACTTGACTAAGCAATTAGCACTTACCTAGTTATTAACTATATTCCAGAAGTATTAGGAGGTTGGAAGGGAAAAGCTGAGTGATTCAAGGGGGACATAAGGAACTGTGAGCCCTGTGAGCACTACACATAAATGTAAACAAAACCTCCCACCAAAGTGTTTGTAATTGCGTAGTCAAGTTTGGCACTATTGTCTTTTTTTTTTCTTGACTCTCTTGTTTTTGGTATTGCATAACCCTGATCCTCAAAAGATATCCAGTTACAACTGATTTGAGTAATAGGCCTCAGAGGATTGTGGAAAAAGCTGCATAAGATAATTGTGTTCAACGTGTCCAAATGTCTATTTACAGAGCTCTTAGAAACTGAAAAAAATTACACACTAACTACTGATAGAATCCAAAATGATGTAAAATTTCCAATAGGGCTTTTACAGGCATATAATGGTGCATTTAAATGCTGTAATGTAAATCTCTTCTGAAAAGGTTTCAGATATCATTTGATAATTAGACATTTGCTTTTTCATAGGCTAGGCAAATAGAGATACAGGACTCTATATTAGCTGTAGATAGCGCATCCTATATCATTGACGTGCTCTTGATGCTACCTGCCCAATGATCCCCTCTCTGCCTCTAGCCTATTGCTCCATTGTACTTGTAAGCATTGATACTGATTAATGTTGACATTAAAAAACCCAGGAATATTTGCACACAAAAAACATTAACTCACAATTACCGTGGCTCAAATTATTTTCTGTCAATGCAATCACTAAAAATATAATCTGTTATTTGTATATTAATTAGTATGTTCAGAGTTAAGGTTGTACATTTGGGGGGTGAGGATGTTTCATGATGGAGAGACAAAACATACATTGGTGGGAAGCTGGGCAGTGGGGCTTATCACTGACTCCCTGGCCCTGCTGTACTTGTGTCATGAGCTCCACAGTAGAGCCCAATTGCCTGGCCCCAATGGCCACCCTAGTTTCATGATTCCCCCAAAACACACTCTCCTAATCCTTGTTCTTACATTGTTTTTTGATTCTGCTGATTTGTATTAATTTTATGAATAAAAGTAAGTGCTAATAAAACTGATGTAAACCAACGTAAGTGGAAAAAGAATGAAGAGCTTCATTTTGGATTGAGGATTAGGTGAGACAACAGAGGCATTGGGCCAGAGAACTGGGCTTTGCAGTGGGAATGGTGACAGGCATACAGGTGGGCCAGGGAGTCATTCGGGAGCATCACGGACCATCCCGGCTCCCTGTACCTTCTGCCAACAGTTATGCCTCTCTGCCCATCTGTACCTCTCTGTGATACATTAAGCATGGCAGTAGGAGTCCCAGTTCAATAGCTCTAATGATATCTGTCACAGAAAGCAGAACCGTGTCACAGGATGTGCTGTAATTTTAAGGACTGCCTTAGGTAGTACATCCCAGTTCCAAGTTCTGGCCCTTTAAGGAACAGTATTGTGGTGATTAGAGTCTCCAGAAGGTCACCTGCTTGTGAGCTGCTGCAAGGCATGCTGGGGAGGAGTATCAGTGTAGTTTCAGCTGTAGTTTCAGTACCAAGGAAACACTGGGTCTTAAAGGAGCTGTGTTAAAGTAGCTTTTATAGGATAAGACAGAGTGAGTGGGAAACTAATGAAGGGAAAAACCTGTGGTAACTAAGATACAGGTATGGGTTTCAGATTGTCTGTTAGCACTTGTCCTTGTTTAGGGGGTTTCTGGCTTCCAGATAGGGTTAGAAGAGACTGCATTTTCCTTTCTCCAAAGCATACTCTTTGAAGAAGACTACTGAGTGAATGAAGCTGAAAGATTGTTTGCTTTTCATGAGAAGAGAGGCTTGATTGGATTGGAGAGCTAAATCACCTTGTCAGCTCAGGGAAGAGGATCTGTGAGGATTGCCAGTCTGAAGAGGTATGATATCTGTAATGGTTCTCCAAGGGGCAAAACTACCTACATAGTGGATCTCCTAACAGTTGTGGTTCTTGTTATTGCTTTAAGTGACCTAAGCACTATATGGAGCTCATGGGACACTT